GGGGGGGGGGGGGGAGCGGCGGGAACGATGGTGTTTTGGTGCACGGCAGGTGAGCAGGTAGGCAGAACAAGGCGTGACTGGGCGCCTTGCAAACGATGCCGCCTGTGTTGACAGGCTGGGCCAGCCCTGCTTTCTTCCATGCAGTGTCAAAAGGCCGCGTGCCAGCCATCTCTGGCTGACATTGTGATGCTCACCCGCTCCAGCCAAAAAGTGTGGACGTCTCAATCTGGGCCCGGGTGTAGGGGTCGTTGCCAACCAGGCAGCCAAAGACGCAGCCCTTGAGAGGGAACTCCTGACCAACGGTGGGCGGTGTGGTCCTGTCGGGTGGGGGGCAGACCGTTGACGCGTTGATTGGGTGGGCTTCGGCGAGCGGGTGGGCTTTGGTGAGCGGGTGCTGGTGGCTGGCTCTGTTTCGCTGGCGCTTGCACGCTGCCACGCGTTGGCGCCTTGCTCACTTCTCAGCCAAACCCCTGTGCCTTATTCCTACGCACTTGTTCCACATGGTTGCAAAGTACTGCTTGGGCTTGGACTGCAAGTCGTTGCAGTAGTCCAGGATGTTGCGGAAACCGGCAGGCTTCTCCCAGGGCTTGCAGGTGCCTGCAGGGGAAGGTGGGGCAGTCCGGGCAGCTCAGGCAAGCCGATGTCACCCGAACTCGTTGTGCAGGAGCACAGCCGCTGTTAGGGTAGGCTGACGTTGCAAGAATGGACGAGACAATGAGCGCACAGGCCATCAAGGGTACAGCGGCGCAGCCGATGGGATTGTGCGCAGGCAAGGAGGCAGGCAGGGCCAAAGGCAGCCGCACCTGAAGGAGCGCCTGTTGGGTTGCTGGGTGCTGCAGAGGGATAGACGGGGTCGGTCGGCCGGCCAGGCTGGCTCCGGTCGCGGGGCGCCGGCTTGGGGATGACCCCAAACACGGCGCTGCCGATGCGGCCGACGGCGGGGACCATCCGGCGCCCCACGAAATCGCCGATGTGGTTGATGAACACCCCGCCACCGGCGGTTGAGTTGAGGGCGTATGGGGGGCTGCCGTCAGCGCCCTCGACGAATTTGGCCACGCGCGTGATCGCGTGGTTGGCCACGGTGCGGATTGGCTGGGAGAGGCGGTACCCGGGCCCGTCCACAAAGTCTGAGATACGTGCGACAACGCCCCGCGCCGCCGCACGCGGCGCGGCGACCTGCTGCGCTACGGGGCCCTCGATCTGGACCGAGACGCTCTCGAAGGCCCGCGCGAGGGCGCCGGTCAGGGGCGCCGTCGCGTCCGCGACGGGGCCGTCGAGGATGGCGCCCTTGGAGTTGATGCGTTGGTTGACGAGCCTGATGACAGGCCGCAAGGCCTCCCGGACGGGGTGGCCGTCGGTTACCAGGGCTCCGTACTTGTCAAAAAAGTGGTGAGAGGGGAGCACCAAGAGGGGCTCGATCACCTTGTCGGCCGCGTCCTGGGCCGCATTGATGTGGGCCGCCAGCGCGTCGGCGGCGGGGAACAAGGCGGGCCCCACGGCAGCGACGCCGGCGGCGAGCGCCGCGTCCACCGCCGCCGCCGTCGCGTTGATCGCGCGCGCGGCGGCGGCGCCGGCCGCTTTTTTTGCCCGGCCGGCCGTGGCGTCGATGGTGCGGGTGACCGCCTCTGCGAAGCTGACGGCCTTTGGCTCCACCACATCCGTCACATGTTTGACCAACGGCTGCACAACATTGACTGAGCCCGCCTTGGACACGACCGCGTCGCCGGCGGACTTCAGCGCCGCGCGCGCGGGGTCGGCGGCAGCTGCGAGGCGCGACGCGACCGATGCCGACAAGCTGTGCTTTGCGGGGCCGGCGGCGGTGCTGAAGCTGTTGTATGTGGACGTGATGTCGGCGCCGAGCTGGGCGCTGGCGTTCTGCAGCTTGCCCAGCGCAGTGCCCAGCAGAGGGTCCGCCGCCTGGTCTCTGTTCCCGCTGCTGGCCACGGCTGCTGCAAGGCTGGCGGCGACCAGGGCTGCCCAGAGCAGCCCATTGCGCGACGTGCGCCCAAACAGCGCACGCCGCATCTAGGAGGGCGGGTAGGGCGTGTCACAGAAGCAGCGATTATAAAGCACTCTTATGCAGTGGCCTTTCACAATGTATCGAGCCTGTCGGTGCAGTTCGTGCAGGCGTCTGGCGCGTTTGGGCCGCGTGGCGGATGCAAGCACTGCCGCACCCGCGCGCAGCTTGTGGCGCCGTGCAGCCAGCAAGCCGTTTAAAGCATCAGAGATGCTGGTTGTCAATACTTGACACCTGTCGCACCTTGTGTTTGACGCCCCGCACAAGAAGACTGCGCGGCTGCCACCGCGCGCTGCGCACGACGAGACGTAAATGACAAACCTAGCAGATAACTCTCAACTTTGATATCGAAACAACTAAACCGAACCCCGGAGGAGTGGCAACGGAACAAAGGAATCGGGCGGCTACAAAACGGCAGGGTGATGATGAGCGCCCCTCAACGACGACGTAGGCTGGTTGTGCGGCATGAGGAACCAATTGTGGGGTGAAGCATTTTGTAATATGGAGGCGCCACACTGCTCGCCAACGCCGCAGCAACAGGCCCTTGTCACTGATGAAGCCCCGTGCAAACGGATCCCAGCCTTTGCAGCCATGCAGGAACCGTGAAGAGATCATGAAACCCTTGAAAGCACACGGCAATGGCTCTGTGGCAGGCGCAGGTGCTTCTTGCCCAGGTTGTGCCGCGGTGCCCGCGGTGCGCCTTCGGGCCCCTGCTTCTGCGACACGAGCTGCTCGTGTCAATCATCGAATGTATGCATGACTTCCAAGATTTAGGATAGGAACAAGAAGCGTGCCTGTCAAAGTGGTGGTGTTCACTTGGGTGTCATACCACCCAAGCCTTCCATGGCAGCACATCAGAATCCCTGCTCAGAGACAGGCCGCCCCAGCTGCAAGACAGGCTTGCAGGCTGTGCACAACATGCATTTGGTGCTGTCAGGTCCTGTAGCTGACACCGATGTTGCACTGAGCCACAGACCAGCGACATCTATCTGGATTACACACCCATGTGTCCATGGGTGCCGCCAGCTGACCCTTCCCTTCCATAGCAGTCACCTGATGACTGAAGCAAGCCTGACCTCACCTCCTTTAGACAATCATCGGTGTGCTCTCTTGAAAATATACAAGTACAATCCACCGTGCCTGCGTACAGCACGGTCCAGCGGAATCGATCATCCTGATCTCGTGATGTAGAGGGGCGTAGTTGCTGCGGAACATGATATATATTGCTTAGCCTGGCTGGATTTTGGATCATGCAGCCTCGCGGTGAGTTGCTTCGCCCTCTGATACCACTGTAGAGCAAAGACCCGCCCATCGGGACCTCGAAAGAATATAATATTCAACTGGAAGGTATCCCTGAAGAAGAGGCCGCGATCAGGTTGCTCTGCTGCACGATGGACTCCAGTTTTGCAGTGCGTGCTTCGCCGCTGCTGGTCTCACCCGCCCCCACAGGGGACGGCGGCTTTGTGCCCCTCGCAGCTGTGTACGATGAGTGGGCTGCGATTGCTGTATGGTGAGTGCTTGCCTGCTATTGGTGAAGTGCCAGCCACGGCATCGCTGACTGCCTGTAAGGCAGTGGGGTTGACCTCGTATTGACATGCATGAACGCCTTGCTTTCCCACACATGCACAGCGCGGCGGCGGCCATCTGGGCCGTGCCGCACCTGCAGCTGTGGCTGCTGCCGTCCCTGCCTGTTGGTGCGGCGCTGCTGCTGCTCGTGGGCGGTGCTGTTGGGGCCTGCTGCCTGGCAGGCCTGCTGGTGAGGCGGGGCGGTGCATGCTGCGGCTGGGTGCCAGGGGTTTCACGCGAATGCAAGCCACAATGCTAAATGTGTGCGGCTGCGCTTGGCTTGAGGGCGTGCGGCGTGGCTGCTTGCATTCACAAGTGACAATCCTTTTGCTTTTCAGGAGCCCAGAGTAGATGTTTTAGCCCCAGAATGGGGTGAGACGCCACCACCACCACCTATGCCCGCAGCTGCTGCTTTTTTACGCGCTCACGGTTCCGGCGGCGCCTCCAGCATGCGGCGCTCCCGCTGCGGCCCCTCTCCAGCCGGCGCAGCCGCAGCGCGACCAGGAGCGTGCGAGCGACGCGCCGCCGGCGCGCGCCCCGGACGGCGTCGCCAGCTTCGGCCCCCTCCTGCGCGCGCGCGAGCGCTACGGCGGCCGCATCTGGACAGTCGCCGCCGCCGACTGGCGGCGGGCGTCCGAGGCGGAGGCGCCGCAGGAGTTCCCGCCCAGAAGTTTTGGGGAGGGGGCGGTGGCTATGCAGTGGAGCGGTCGGCTGAGGGGCGCCAGCCTGAGGCTCTTGAGGGACGGGCCGGGGGCACCAGGGCAGCCCGAAAAGGTGGGAACAAGGGTGCTGTTTTGGGGATTTCTTTTGGGGGGGAGGGGGGGCAGGTGGGAGGCTGGCGTGGGCGCTCGCTGAACGCCAGTGCAGGCGGAAGTGCCAGTGACGTGTCCAGGCAGAATGCATGAAGTGTGGCATGGCCGGTGGGGGTGCTTTCACACAACTCAGCGGGCGCCTGGTGCGGCCTTCCAGCAGCTGGCGTCGCGCAGCAGCGCCACACGGGCGTATGGCCCTCACGCGTGCCCCTGCGCCCTCCCTTTGCACGCTAGGCGCGAGTCTCGCTGGCGGGCTGCGGCGTGCGCGTCGCGTCGGAGTGCCTGCGCGGCAGCAAAGGCACCTGGTGGAAGAAGGGGCCCCTCGAGATCCGCCACCCAGACGGGCGCCCGCTGCTGGCTGGCTGCAGCACTCTGTTCCTCTTCGCGCCGGACGGTGCGTTTGGCGGTTCGATCCCGGGCGAGCGCGGCGTTTTTTTTGCGTCTGTGCGCGCAGACGCACAGGACGCCAGATGGTCGCCTCGAAAACGGTGCAGGGTCGGGTAGGGGATCCTCCAGGCCGTGCTCAACTCTACCGCGCCGCGCCTCCCCCCCCCCTTACCAAATCTGAGCAGGCGCCGCCAAGGAGCAGTGGCACTCGGCGCTGCTCTGGGCCTGCGGCGACCCCGGGGACGTGCGCCGCGCCGGGGCGCTTTACAGCGCTTTCTGCCGCGACGCGCGCGCCCGGCTCGCGGCGGCGGCCGCGCCGGAGGGCGGGAGCGACCTCGGGTGGAGGAGTGAGTCTGTGAGGGGCGAATCCTCGCCCGCTCTGAGGCGTGAGCGAGGCGCGGGTCATCGCTGGCTTTGCCGTGCGCGTATCTACTCGCTGAGGGAATGCCACGCGTCTTGTGATAAGCAGACAGTCCGATTCTACCTGGCCCCGGGCCGTCTGTCGTCAACTGGCAAACGCCGCTCCGCCCTGCAGGCTTGGAGCCCCCGCGCCTCTCCCGTCGCGCCCTGCTCCGCCCCGCCCGCGACACCGGCAGCCCCGGCTGCGGCGCGTGCGGCAGCGGCGGCCGGGCGTCGCCGGCCGGGCTCGGCGGGGCGGCGGGGTCGCCCGCGGCGGTCTCTGCGTCGTCCCTCTGCCACCGCCTGGGCGACGTCGGCTCTCAGGGCGCCATGCCAGCTGACACAGGGTGCGCCCGCTGCCTTAGCTGATGCAGCGCAGCGCCGGGCAATGTCTGCTGCCCCCTTTGCACGCGCATGCAAGCAGAAGCGGGCAACCGCGCGGGACGCTGTAGCAATCCTAGTCCTGATCTCCAAGCACGAACCCCTAAATCTCCGTGCGGCCATCCTATGACCTGCCATGCCCCAGGGCCGAACTGACGACACTGCTATCTCAAGCGGAGTCCGACGTTGCAGCCGCAGCCCCCATGCGCGCCCTGCCCGTCGGGCCCTCATCGCCGTGCCCGCCTGTCACGGCGGAGGCCGCTGGGCGGGCCGCGGCGGCAAGGAAAGCCGCCGCCACGGCGACGCCGCGGGTGACGCTGGAGGCGGGCGACCGCCCGTCTGGCGCGCAGTCGCCGCGGCGCGAGGACGGGGGGGCGGCGGAGGAGGCGGCGTTCGGGGGCTGCGGGGTGGTGCAGCAGCGGCGCGTCGGGCTGCCGGACTCTGATCCTGGGTTCAGGGCGGAGGCGAGGGTGGAGCTGCCTGGAAGGTGTGCATGCGCGTGTGTGGGTTTGTGTGTGCGCATGAGTGTGAGTGAATGAGTGTGTGTGTGTGTGTGTGTGTGTCCGCTCGCGCGTGTGTGTGCAGGCCTGCACACGCATGCGTGTCATTGTGTGAACATGCACACATCTATGTTTCCAAACACACATGCATGTCAGGGTATTTTTGTGTGTGTGTGTGTGTATGTGTATGTGTGTACGTGTGTGTGTGTGTGTGTTGTTTGTGTATGTACATGCATGTGTGCGCACATTGACCGTGCCGCCAACACCCTGCCAGGCAGGCTGCTGGCGGCAGCGGCAAGCTGGTCTTGCTGGGGGGCTGCATGGCGGCACGGACGCAATCAAAAGCATGCAATGGCCCGGCTTTCAATCACCCATGCTGCCACGCCACTGCACTTGGGCCCCGCGGTCTGCCCTGCACACCAGGGCGGCACTCAGCGATGACTGCCCTTCGGCCCCACAGCCAGCCGCTGACAGCAGCGCCGCCGCCGCTGCGGCCGCGGCGCCCTCTCGGCAGGCCGCGGCGCCGCGGCCGCTGTCACAGGCTGCGTCCGAAGCGTCCCTGGGCGCCGGCTGCGTGGCGGCGGCGGTGGCGGCGAGCAAGCAGCTGGTGTGGCAGGAGGCGGCGCATCTTGCGGCTGGTGGCGACAGACAGGTGGGCGAGGGCCTGGGCGGGCAGGGCTTCAATGCTCCCTAGGGCTGCAATGCAGTGGCCATGTGACAAGCCTTGAATTGGTGTCTTATGGTCCGGCTCTGAGTATCTTTGATTTCAAGGCTCATGGGTTTTAACTTCAAGGCTCATGGGCTCATCTGGCTGGCCTCTGCCTATGACGACTCCCACTACTGTGCCGTGCGCAGGCCGGCGCGGCGTCTCCAGCCCCCGACATCCCTCGCGCCCAACCGGCCGCCGCCCGCGCCACTACGCCCCCGCCGCCGCTCGCCGGCGCCAACGCGCTGCTCTGGCGCGTCGCATTTGAGCTGCTGCGCAGCCGCGAGCTCGAGTCCCGCCTTGCGGCCGCCCTGCAGCGGCGCCTTGACGAGATCAAGCGTCCCTCGTACCTCCACAAACTCAACCTCGTATCGCTCGATCTGGGGAGCTCCGCGCCGGTGCTTACGGGACTGAGGGCCGCAAGCTGCCCGCTGGGGCGCCACGCGGGCGGCGGCGCGGCGCCGCAGCTGCAGGTGCAGGTGTTGTACGAGGGGCGCGCCGCGGTGGCGGTGGAGACACGCGTCGAGCTGCAGAGGGCTGCGGGCTACGAGGCTCTCAAGCAGCGCGTGCACGGCACGTCCCCGGCGGCGGCGGCCGGGGCGGGGGCGGCGGCAGCGGGGGCCGCAAGCACGGGACTGCCGGGGCGGCAGTCACCGGGCGATCGGCGGGTGCAGGCGCGCGGCCCTGCCGCGCCACTGCCGGAGACGCTGCCTCAGCAGCCGCTTCAGCAGCAGCAGCAGCAGCAGCAGCAGCCGGCAGGCGGCCTGGAAGCGCACCCGGGCGGCGCCGGTGGCCTGTCGGCCGACAGGAGCCTCGGGGGCCGCGTGACTCTGGAGGACGATGCGGAGGATGCGACAGACAGCGCCATGCACGACGCAGTCGCGACGACGCTGCGCGAAGAGCAGCGCCAGCAGTCCCTCGCCCCGGGCTCCCCCGCCCGCGCCCCCGCCGCCGCGCTCGCGCGCGCCGCCGGCGCGCCGCC